GGGACAAATAAAAAAATTTCGTTGATCTGGGTGGGGCAAATTTTTTTAAAAAAATTTAAGGCCAGCCAGGCTTGAAAATTAGGCCTGATATCACTAATGAATATACATTTAGAGTCGATTCCGAAATATTTTTCAAAATAGCTTCAGGTTCCTATAAATTTTAAGAGAGGGGTTCGGGGTCTCCGTTCCAAAGATTCTTATTATTCCTTAATATCGATTTAATTTTTTTTAAATTTTCTATTATAAGATTTTTATTTAATTTTACCTTTAAAAAACCAAAGGTGGCGTTTTTAATCTGGCTAATGTCATTCATTATATTAGTAATTGCTAGAATAAAAATTATGTAGAGGATAAGTGAATGACCATGTTTGCCAAGTGGGCAGGCCAACACCCTTTAACTTATTATCTATTGAACCTATTTCTCTCAAAATTGTTTAAAATATGAAACGATTAAAATAAGTATTTTTTAGCATGTTTTGATATAAGTATAAATAAAAGAGTGGTCAATATAAATCATGTTTAGCATCCAGATAATAAATTATAAAATATTAATAGATTAATCTGATGTAAAATGAAATGTTAATATTGATTATTTATTGTAATTTTTAATTTATAATAAAATTCTTGAATAATATCTTATGACCAGTTGAAACATAACATGTTTGAACTGAGCCTGAAAATTAACCTTCACATAAACTCATCTAGCTCAAAAACTATTATAATAGATAAAGCTTTGATTCAAATTTTCTCTATTGTGCACATCATATTGAATACATACCATTAAAAAAATATATATAAATTTTTAAATGATACATATATATTTTATTTCTATAATTAATTTTGTCAAAAATGAAAGACAGCTATCAATATAAAAATTCCAAAATACTTAGTTTACAATTTCGAATAGTTGCATTTTTTCCATTTTATAAATTATATCATTTCTCTTGTAAAATTTTTAAGGAACAGTAAGTTAAAAATCCTATTAAATAAAGGTAAAAGAAATGTTTTATATAAAAATATATTGTTATATTTATTAATAGTGCTTAAAATTTTAGTTTTAAGGTACGTGTACCCAGATCAGGTTGCCAGTCATCAGGGTCTAGTCTCTTCTTCAGCACACACAGAGAGAGATCTGCAAATCACTTAAAAATAATTTCAGGTTGGGCCGGGCCTAATATTTTTTGAAAAAATTCGGTCAGGGCCAGTAGGACTTAAATTTTTTAATCATTAAATTCTGTAAATAAGCCGATAATTTAGTTTATTTGTATAATTTTTTTTTCAATCAAAAAAATTAAATTTTTCTTTTCAAACCTTACCTTAAATACCTGGTATCTTGATGATGGCATTGTATCGGGCAACCTCTCCTCAATCATGTCCATCCCCCTCATCATTGAGAATCTCTCTCATATAACAGGATTATCTCTTCAACCTCCCCAAATGTTAGATTTGCTTCCTAAATCCCACTTCTATCCCTTCTGACATGGCATATCACGTCATCAACAGAGACGAGATGACACACCTCGGATCACCCATAGGAGGTGAAAAGGCCATCGAGACATTTTTAAACAAGTCCCTTAACAATTTATCCAAATTAAATACATTATTTAATTACCTCCCAGCCCATCAATCTTTTTTTTTAATAAAAAATTATTTCAACATACCTAAAATCTTTTACGCCCTGAGATCCTTTCCGATCTTTAAATGCCGCGACTTGCTCGTTTCTCATGAAACCCGAATTAAGGGTCTTCTTGAAAACATATTAAACCTTAAATTTTCCAATTCATCTTGGCTTCAGGCCACCCTTCCCAGCAAGTCTGGTGGAATTGGTATCCGATCCCCGATAAAACTTTCCCTCTCAGCCTTTATCTCATCTCGTCTAGCTGCACAATTTATCATCGATAATGGATCCACTCCTTCAGATACTGACCTCTTGCAGGCCTTCACCTTTTGGGATAGCAACTGCTCACCCACCCTCTGTCGTCCGGCTTCCAGCATTCAGAAAGACTGAGATGCTCCTCTGATCGCCCGTTCCTTGAATACTTTATTTCTAACAGGCCCTTTGAGGACAATCCCAATAATTTAGTATTATATGCAAGCTCAGGTTACGAATGGCTGGAAGCCATCCCCAGTTCCAATCTTGGCTTCCTCTTGACTGGCGAACAGCTACGCATTTCCATGACCCTCCGCCTTGGCTGTAATGCCGTGGTTCCCTCAATTTGCATCGACTGTGGCCATCCCATCGAATCGAAAGCTTATCATCCCGACGACAACCGCGTCATAAATCAATTAACATCCTCCTAACAGCTATTAAAAAGTTAATATTCCATCCAACCTTGAACCAGTGGGCCTCTCAAATGAAAACGACATACGCCCCGATGGCATCCCACTAGCTTGGGACTATACCTGTGACGATTTTTCCGCCAAGTCCAACTCTCATTTTCTGCCATCGAAAAGGCCGAAATCCTAAAAAAAACAAATATGCTAGCCTAACCAATACCGTGTTTATCCTAATAGTTACCAATACCCTAGGCATGTTCGGAAGTGATGTTCTCAATTTAATCAAAACTATAGGAAAAAAAATGAGGCAGATCTCAGGGGACCCCAATGAAGGATTTTACCTTCGTCAGCAGATTCCCCTGGAAATCTGCCGATCCAATTTTATAAGCATTCACTCTTCTCTAGGGTGATTTGTACCCTTTTTTTTAAATTTTATTTTTTTTATCTCATTTCTCTTTTATATATATTTTTTAATTGATTTTTAATATATTATTTGTTTTTTAAAAAATAAATTTTTCTTTTCAATCAAAAAAAATAAATTTTTCTATATTTAAATAAATTTGGAGTAGGTGGGGGGGGGAGCAAATAATTTTTATTTCGGTTCGGATTTTTGGGACAAATAAAAAAAAAATTATTCGGTATCGAGCTGGACAGGTCAAATTTTTTTTGTGCAGAGCACTACACACAAGCTTCTCTACAACAAAACTCACGCCATTTTAAAATTACTCCTACATTAACATTTTCAGCATTTCAACATTTTAAAATGATAAATAAAAAATTTGTGAAACATAATTTGTTTAATTTTTTATTTTACAATTAAATTTAAAAATATATTATCAATAAACTGCCTAGTTTGTTTTAGTAACTAACAAATATTTGCCTCAAAGTTCTAACCTTAAAAAAGAAATTTCAAAACCTTCCCTATATTAGCTTGAAATTCAAAAAAATATATTAAAATTTTAATGTAAATCCAGTTAATCTTTGCTCTTAATTTAATTTATATTTAATAAATTAATTATAAATCATAAATAAAAAAAAATATGTTAATAAAGTATATCTTTGCTTTTCAAATAAATACACTATATTATTAATTTTTACTATCAATAGCAGTGATATTAGCCTGTTAATATTGGTGGTATAGGCTAAAAAATGGGCTATCAGTGTGTCTGGCAAAAAAAATAATCAAACATATAAGATTGTGTTGAATAAAGACTGGCACACCTGATATAAATAATTAAATGACATAGAAACACTACTAAAATAAATGTTTTTGCTTTGCATATTGAATAATATTTCAATTGAGTTGTGGAGATCCTAAAATTTAAATTTATTGGTGATAATCCATAAATAATCCTAAATAAATTCTTATGTGTAGTAGATTTTTCAGTTTTTCTAGAAGGAATGTTTTACTCTTAGCCTAATTCAATATTTTACTGTTTTATGTATATTTCATATTTAAAAGTGTTATATATTTGACTATTGTTTGTTGTGCTAAAAATATAAGATCAAATTGATGAAAAAATTTAATATTATAATTTTTAAACATAGGAAAGGCTACTTATAATTTTCACTTATTAAAATGCTAAAATATGTTTAAAGTAGGTTTGGCATAAATCAATGATTTTTTTGTATAAATTTGAAGAAAAATAAAATTTTCTATAATTATTTCTGCCCTCTACAATAAATACTAATTCAATATATTATTAATAATAAGATTAAGATTAATTCAGCTGCAGTTTATAAAAATGACTTCTAGTTTATGTAAAAAAATTATTTAATTTAAATAATCAAAAATATAAACATTTTACTCTTATTGATAATTTAATAATGTAATAAAATATGTTAAATAAATAACTTTAAATAGTGACTCAATTTCCTCTAGGGTTATATTATATATCTATTTATATCCTGTTACTTTTCTTTAACTGCTAGTGATATACCGCTGACACTAATGACAGTCAATACTATCAATACCCAATGAGGTATTTTCTACCCCAACTTTTAAAATGATGTATCTCAAATGGAGCTTATAATTTCACAATATTTGAAAAAAATAATGTTTTTTTCTTATTTTCCCAGAGCCTTCATTCCCTCCCAAATATGTTAAGTCAATGTAAATGTCTTCCAATCTTAATGAAACTTGTAATATAATTTCTTGTATGTATATTCATAATTCCCAAGCAAAATTTTAAAATTAAAAGTTAATTATGAAATAGACTTAAAAAAATTGATAAGATTTTCTTTCTTGTAGGTTTAGAAATGAGTAGATTAATTTTTGTCATCAATTTATGGCTCAATTTAGGTTATTTTTTTAAAAAAAGTTGAGTTATTATCAGTTATCTTTGAACAAAACCAAATACTTAGTTGAATTGTAAATAGTGATAGTGGCAGATATGAGAAGCATGAATCTTACAAGTATTGATGCTCAGGACCGTCAAAAATGGAAAAGAAAAATCAGAAGGAAAACTAGCCTACCTGGGTAAACCTGGAAATCGCCATAAAACGGAGAAGAATATAATATGAATACTATTTATTCATCATATTTAATTATTTTAATAAGGTTCATGCTTTAAAATTTTTGGTGAGAAAAAAATAAAAGAATATGAGGATTAAGTCTACAATGCAGGCATAAATCAAATTGTATTAAATCTTTTCTAAAAAAAGATTAAGCTTTGCTGCATCTGTATGCACGTGTATATATATAAATAATAAAATGTACCTACTTTTTTTTTGGCTTTTTTATAACTCATCCATTCTTGAGGCTCAAAGAAAAAAATTCCATTATCATTCAATTGTTCGTATATTCTTTGGAAAGTAATCTTTAGGCCATTGTCTCCCCAATTCAAATGAATCCATTTTGAAACTGATAAACATATAATGATATCAAATTCAGGCCTTTGAATTTTTAAAATTTCTTGACATTCACAAACATAATTTGCCTAAAACAATAATTAAACAATCATATTTTAAGTTGCAAGTAACTGTGATAAAATCTATATTATAAGGATATTTGTGTTTTGTTTCATCATTGTAAGTTGGATATAAATACAATGTAGAGGTATTATGAATTATATTAGGCTTCTTATGATATTTAATATCTAGATCCTTTAATAAATCAATCTTTGCCTTTTTAATTAAATTATTGTCAATATCATATCCAATAATTTTAGATGGATTCAAGTGCTTTGCTATATATTTTGTAACAAATCCAGTGTTACAACCTATATCTAAAACTTTTTTTTCCTTTACCCATTCTCTTTGTAGTATTGATAATCTTGTATCTATTATATTATTATGAGAATTTATCATATTTCTATAATTGTAATATGTTGGATAGTTTCCATATCTGTATAAGTTATATTTCAAATTGCCTAAATTTTTTGAGTTTTGAATACCTGGTATAGCTTCATATATTTTATTAGTTTGATTCCCTATTCTTAGAGACAGTTTATTATCATTTTTTAAAAATTTTGTTTTAGAATATTTATTAATTATAATTGGTGATACTATTGGATCCTTTTTTAAATTAAGATAATTTTCAAATAAAAGTCTTTTATCAGTGTTAATATATAAATCTTGCTTAGATTTAAGAGTAATGTCTAAGTCTAATTGAAGATTAAGAGGATTTTTAACATTAATTACAGATGGTATTATTAAAGGATCTTTACCACTTTTCTGATTTTCTCCAATATAATTACATTTATTAAAATCTTCGGGACATATGCTTTCTAAATTTAAAGGGTCTTCGGAGTTCCCACCACAGAAAAATTGTTGATCAATCTTAAATTTTTTGAACTTTTCCATATAAAAAAATATTTGTAAAAAAACAAGACAGTTTTTATTATAAAATAGTAATTTACTAAAGAACGACCAGATTATCAGATGATATTGGAGTTGTTTTGGTAAAATCATTTATCAGCTCTTAAAAATGCCAATCGTCAAAAATTCTAACAACTTATTTAATGATTAAATAATGTAAAAATAAAAGGTAAATTATATCAAAATGCAGCGCTATAAACGTTACTTAAAAAAAAGCTTTAAAGTTACACGTTATGTCTGAAAGAACGCGTTACCTTACCCTTTTAAAAAAGAAGCTCGTGTTACTGACTATTCAAAAAAGTAAGGGTGCATTTACAGTAAAGAACAACAACGACATGACAAAATACAAATATGAGTAATTATCAATGACTATTCATAGTCAGCTTTTGAGAAGCGACACGATTCCCGCCACATTTGTCGCATTAAACATAGATGTCAAATTACAAAATATTTTCTTTTCAAAGCGACATATTTGGCCGAAATAGAAAATTTGCAAATAAGTTATTGAAATGCTATTAAAATAATAATATTATATATATTTTTTAGAATATAAATAATATTATATTATATATGGAAATTAATATCAGCTGAAAACAATATTGAAATAGGTAATTAAAAGTATATTAATTTGAAATATTTTATTTGCAGTAGAGATTGCCGAATAGGATAGAAAAATCTAGGAGATTGCTTTATGAGGGAGCATAAAATTAAGATCTTTAAAGAGTGGGTCAGGGGCTTATCACACTCCCACTTGGCAATTGTACCATAACTTAGCTTTTCTAATTCCAACCATATAATCAGGGAAACAATATATAGATTTGAAAAAAATAAATCTTGTTATATTTATTGATGAAGCAAATATTGCTAGAGCAATAATTGAGCAGATAAGTGGAAATGAAAATTATCAATATGAAGATGGTAAATATAATAATTTTTATTAAGATTATTATTACATAGCTGTTGAAATCCCATGCATAGAGACTAGTCAAAGTGAATCCACAATTTTAAGGAATGATTGTAATTATATTTTATATAAATAATATATATATTTAGCATCACCATCAACTGTAGGATCATATGTAGCTTGCAAAAAATTAATTAAAAGATCAAGGTAATTTTTTGTAAATATATTTAATATTTAACTAGATTTATTTAAGCAAATTCGAAATAGAAAAAATAAAAGAAAGAAGATTATCAACAATCTCTTGGATCAATGTTATGCTTGAGCAAACCCTTGCGAAAAGACCAGAGAGGAAAAAGAAGAAACTAATTAAAATCATTTTTGATATATTATTTAATTATGAAAGTGGAATAAAAAAATATTATATTTCATTGTTATTATTTCATTGAAAGGCCTTTATATTATTTTAACCAAAATATAAATAATTATTTTGTTTTATCAATCACCAAGTTGTATAACAGTGCACAAGTTTTTATAATTCATTCAGTATTGGTAACATTAACTTACCTTTATAAGGTTTCATAAAATAATATTTGAATCTTCATCTGATTCACTGCCATAACTGCCTACAGCAATTACTATAAATCTAACTTTACCATTTACTAATGCTTGTAAAATCATGGAGAAATATTGTTTATAATTGTATTATATGCTCCCAGATTTTGAAGGATTCTTAATCTCAATGTGTTTGCCATCAATCGCTCCAACACAATTTGGAAAGTTTCAAGACTTATCAAATTGATCAGCAATTATTTTGGTCATTTAAATTAGGTGGTTTCAAATGGATATTTTTATATTAACATTTTTTAAAAATAAAAATATGCTTATCGCAACTACTATGAATGCTATGTCGCTTACGACACATAAGCTGCTCTGTCGTTTAATGTCACGTCGTGTTTGTAGTGTCGCTGTCCTCCTCTACTTAGGTTGCATTAACAGTAGAGAGCTACAGCGACACGACAAAATACAAATATATGTAATTACCAATGACTATTTATAGTGAGCTTTTGCTATGCGACACGACAATCCCGCCACTATGTCGCATTAAACATAAAAATCAAGTTACAAATTATTTTGTTTTTTTCCATGCGACATAACTACTATATGGCCGAAAAAGAAAATTTGCAAGTAAAATTTTGATATGCTATTAAGATAATAAATTATATATATATATGTATATTAGAATATAAATAAATATTATGTTAATAATTTTTTTATAGAAAATCAATAAAGATAATTAAAGAGTATATTGGGATTTTAATATTTTTACGAAATTTATCGTTTGCTTCAATTCTTTCTTTTATTTTTTTGAATATTTTACCAAAATATCGGAAGATTATTCTATAGACTCGTTATATTTTTAAAAATTGAAAAAAAATAGTCCACCTTAAGAAACGTTCATCCGGTGGAAAATTTGAAGTGATAGAACTGTATTGTATGGGTTGAGTCAGGCAAATATTTTTTTATTTTAATCATATTTATTTACAGATTCTATGAACATTATTACTCAATATTGATAGTAATCATAACCTACACTAAAGAAATTAAACTTAAAATCAGCCATCACCCACATTTAAAGTAATTAAATTATACTGTAGTGGTATAGGCTCTTTTTTTGCCCCACTCATTTTAATAAGCCTATAGAGGTTTTGTACCTACAAGTATGTGCGGCTTGCCCACAAACGTGTAGAGGGCTCCTCATATTTTTTACTTTTATACCCAAATTAAATTATTCCAATTAGATGGAAATGAGGAAAACCTAGCGTAGCTCTGTTGAACCTTCAACGCTAGAGGGCAGAAGCGCCAGGGTTGGGCAAATTTTCAGAAAATTGTATTCGGATACAGATACAGATACTTTATTAAATTTTTTATTTAAGATACAAGATACTAGATACTTTAGAAAAATTTCAATAAGATATATACAAGATACTTGTATTTTTTTTAAAAAAAAAGTATCTAAGATACAAGATACTTTTTTAAAAAACTTTAAATGGTCCAAATCAAAATGTATAAAGCTTTATTTTCTTATCTATAATATAAATTTATAAAAAAATATTTAAAATAAATTGTAGAAAATAACAAATTTATTATAAAAGATAATGCGATATTCCATTTAATAATTATATAATTAGTAAATAATAATAAATCAGCATCATAAATCAGCATTATTTTTTAATATTATTAATTTTTCAAATGATTTATCGTTCAATCTTTGACGATTTGGTCTATTAACCATATTAGCAAAGCTAAATAATCTTTCAACGGGGGCTGAGGAGGGTAATATTGTGTTATATTTAATAAATATTTCTTTTATATATTTATAACTATTTAACATATTTATACTCCGCCTGTCATCTTTCATATAATTTAGGACCTCTATTTCAATATCATTTATCGAATTATTAGAATTGGATGTGGTACTTTTAAAGCAAAGGTAATCATCATCTTCATCAATTGAAGATTTTGTTGAAGTATTAATTTCAATATTGTTATATTGTGGAAATAATTTAAATAAAATCACTCGAGGTGATAATGAAATATTTTTTGTAAAAGTTAAAATTGATTTAAATGTAAAAGTAAAAATCAATTTAAAGGTAAAAAGTTAAAAATGATTTATAACGATAAAATGTAAATAAATTATATTTGAAAGACATATCTGTAGGATATTAATGTATTATAATTTTTTTGTATATATTGTTATGTTTTTTTGTTATATGATAGTTTTTGAAATTTATATGTTATAATAAAAAAGATAAATTAAATTTGTGTGTTTTAAATGTTTAAAAAATGTGATAACTTAAAATTATAAAATCTCATCCTTATCACCTATCCGAGAAATCGTAAAATTCTTATATGGTGGCAACGTATTCCGACGTTTACAATTCTTATAATAGTTTCAGTTTATTGTTACAATATGACAGAGCGATTTCGATACATCATGATTATAAGATGTCCATCACTCTTTGAAATCAGGCAACATCGCAATACTTAAACGCACAAATCCATTCTGTTTATACACGAAACAAGATTGGTCCATTTCTTCTATTACGATAATGCAGATGACATGCAAACTGCGTTTTCGGCCATACAAGGACATGAGTTCACTGACTCCTATGGGGATAGTTTCTTTATTAATGCTCAATGCTATCGAAGAGATTGAATCATTTGACCAACGCTACCAGATAAATTTATTAGCTTGTATTATTCAATTTTATATACGTATATATAAATATATTTTTTTTCCGTGTGATATGTGATATAAATAAGTTGTGAAATAAACGATCATTATAAATAATATATATTATGAAACCGTTAGTAAATACAAAAAATAATATAGTTGACGTACCGGCGTTTACAGGGAACGTTGAGTTTTTTTAAAAAAGATTCGATTCCGTATTAAAAGATAGCCAATGGAGGGAAGCGGAAAAAGCGAGTATTTTCACAAACAGATTACCAGAAGACGAGTAATTAAATCTAGAGGCAATCTGTACATCGTCCGAGTTCTCTAATCTTACAAATTTAATCGAGAAGTTTAAACTTCTACACCCTGAAAAATCTATGGACAGTTACAAGGTTGATTTTGCGGCGGCGGTGCAAAATCCAGGTGAAAAATTTCAGGCTTGGGTAACTCGAGTATGTGGTTTAAATACTAAATGTAAATATAAAGACTTTGAGAGAGCAATAGAAAAAATAAGGCTTTCATCGATAAGTAAGAAAAACAGGCAGAGAATTTCTAAAATGGAAAATCTAAATATAGATATGATACTAAAGGCAGCAGCAGATATAGAAGAGAAAGAAGCGTGTGACAATATTTTAAGTAAAATTGATAATATAAAAATTGAAGCAGGAACCACGGTGAAAGCGATAGATGAGGTCGAAGTCAAGAGGATAAGTTCGGATTATCAACTGGTGAAATACGATGGTAACAATAGATTGGCATATACTTCAAATGAAAATGGGTTTAGACGGCAGTGGACACCTAGATGCGATAATTGGCAGAGGTTTCAAGGAAACAATTATGATTCACGTTATCGTAACAATTTCAATCCGCTATATCAAAATAACT